TAACAGAGAGATCTTTAATTATCCCTTGTTGAAGGTTCACTGGAATATCTAGAATTTCCTTTGTTAAAGTTCAATTATTTTCAATACTCCAGTTATTTTTAATAGTAAAGAGTTCAGTTGCTACCCGAGATAAAACTGTTGCTGCCGGTGAAAGAGTGTGGCCTTTTGATCCATCTCGTCCCAAGCCTTTCTATTATTCCTCTCTTCGTTTAAACTGCAGCAGGACGTCCGTTTGGTGCCACTCTACCTCGACATCACAGCGATGAGGGTAGGGGTGGGGCGGGGCGCATAAGCCACTGCACCGCCACTGAGCTACGCAGAGATTCAGGGTGAGCAAGGCCAAGAAAGAAAAACTAATACGAACCTAGTAAATGGTCTAGCTCGTCGTGAGTCTCCCCCGTAGTTTATTCTTTGTTAAGTTTTGAGTTGTTAGATCTGTATGAAGACATGATTGATCATCGCAGTTACATACACAGCTTACGCAGCTGTGAAATTAAAGCCTGAAAAAAATTCAGGCTTTAATTTCACAGCTGCTTAAGCTGTGTATGTAACTGCGATGATCAATCATGTCTTCATGTCTTTCTCCACAGTACAAATATATGACCATTCACATATCCACTTGTATATTTTAAATCAGTGTCACACTTAAAGTATTCAATACATAGGCCTTTAATTTTTAGGGGCAATTTTTGTAGCTCGATCAAAAACTGAAGTGGTTATGCCTATGCGACACTTCTTGTAAGCAAAGGTTAAGTCTGCATACGAGCCAAGTGGCCTATCAGGCGGGAGCTTATCCCGGTTTCTGTAGCATGAAGCGACTAGGAGTATTTCTACTCCCCCCTGGATGGGATGCTAGTCCATCGCAGGGTTACCTCCCACCATTAATTTCGCCGGTACCATTTATATACCTGGGTGGAAAGAGGCGCTGTGGGAGCAAATTGTCTTGCCCAAGAGCATAACACAATGTCCCGACCAGGACTCGAATCTGGACCGCTCGAACCGGAGACGAGCGCACTAACAGCGAGGCCACCACGCCTCCACTTCTTGTAAACAAAGATTCGATTAGCCTGAATTTACGCCTCAAAATGAATTTGTAGAATTTATATAGCCTTTTGGTTTGAATACTCACGTGTGAGTATAGGTAGTTTTACACTGCTACCTGGCAATTTTCTCTTTCGCTTCACAGCAGGTCCTGAAATAGAAAAGAGAATACATGTAGCTGAAATCCAGAAAAATGGTAAATTTCAAGCTCGATGACAAAATGAGAAAGACACCATTTTCACCATATCATAAAGAAAGCGTCAGTATTTGTCAGATAGTTTGGCCGTTTCTCTAGGCGAACATCAACTGTAACGCAAGACAGACTACAAGTACAGTAAAGTAACCGGGGCTTATGCTTCATCCTCTAACCAATAAGGAATCAACATATAAATAACACGATATTAAACACGAAATGTTATTCAGCAATCCATATGTTTTAAAAACAGAGTAGGAGTAAAGGTGACGTTAATATTTAATATTTGCTGACGTTAGTCTCGACATGTTGCCTTATTAGCAAACGACTTTGCCGTACGAAGCTATCACGCCAGATAAGAATTGACTCCAAAAGTTTAAAGAACTTACGAGTAAAACGTGGTAATTGGCGAAATACTTCGCTTTTTGTAAGACATTTTAGCCATCAAAAACTGCAAAATTGCTAAGTGATGAAAGCGCTAACAAAAAGTACATTTATATACAAATTTTGAGATGTGAAACTGTTGTTACGCCACAAGTACTCAATACGTTAGCGTCCAATTTTAGACACAGTTAATTGCACCATACCCTTTCACTAATAAGACTTCATGTTTCTGTGGCTTTATGCGACTAATCTTGTAAACAAAGATTAAGCCACAGCTATTGCTGAGGGTATAAATTGTGAGAAAGTGTGGCCCTTTCGTTTTGATTCTACTTATTAGAAATATTACCCGCAAAAGTTTCAGGTCTGTCAGATGTGGGTTGCGGACGTTTTAAGCTAGTACATGGTGAATCTCTCCTTTGCTTCACTTCAGATCCTAAAATAGAAAACGGAAATAGCTGTGATCCAAGAAACATTGAGACATTTGTACATGATTTTTACAGAAAATTACGAAGAGTTATAAACAAGTTATGAAAAGAACAAAATCAAACTTACCAACCTAAACGTTGATTAAGAAAAATGAATTACTATTCTCATTGTAGCTATAATGTATACGAACGCCCTCTTGTTCCCTGGAATTCAAGGCAATTTTTGTGTTCTTCCTTGTTCGGTGTGCAAATACCCTTGATGTAATGTTCGTATAAAGTCACTAGCCTGTTTTCGTATTCATTCCTCTTTTCGTTTAAACCGCAGCAAGACTCCCGTTTGGTGCCATCTTCCCCACAGCGAATACAAATGCTTTTCTGAGTTCCCGCTTTTTGTAAGCCTAAGCCTGCGCTCATATACCTTATTCTAGCTTGCCGGCAGGTCATTTCTGAGAGTGATGATAACCGGTGGGAATAAACAAATCTTCCACACTTGTTTGTCGTATATAATGTTGTAGCTGTTGTCGTATTTCTTCTTGAAGGAGAGGGAGAGAGGCGATGGATAAGGTGTGACAAGCGTATCCCCAGACTTCAGAAGAGCAGAGGACATCGACTTTACCTGTTGATGGCCATAACTATCTCTGCACTAACATTACATTCTAGATTACAGCTTTCTGAAGTCCTTTGTAATCATTGTGTAGTGACAGCACCGCCACTAAGGAACGGAGAGACCCAGGGTAAGAAAGGCCAAGAAACCAATACCAATACGAACCTAGTAAATGGCCTAGCTTGCCGCGAGGCTCTCCTGTAGTTTATTCTTTGTAAAGTTTTGAGTTGTTAAATCTGTATGAAGACAGGATTGATCATGGCAGTTACATACACAGCTTAAGCAGGTGTGAAATTAACAGCTGCGTTGTTAAATCCGTGTCACACTAGGAGTAATCAATGCATCAGCCTCCAATTCTTAGGGACAGTAACTGAATCCGAAACTGAAGCGCTTATGCAAATAAGTAGTTTAGTTTGGATACTTACGTGTGAGTTTAGGAGGTTTTGCACTGCTACTTGACGATACTCTCTTTCGCTTCACAGCAGGTCCTAAAATAGGAAAAGGAACAGCTGTGATTCAAGACAAACTAACAAATTTTTAAATGGTGTCTACATAACATTGCATGAGTATTAAACAAGCTGTAAAAAGGATGACAATAACACTTACAAAACTGGATGTCGATGAAGTAAAATGAAGTACTTTTCTTACTGCGGTTATAATGAATACGAACGCCTCTCTTATTCGCGAAAATGTAGGGTTACTTTGGTGCACTTCCGCTGCACGTAGAACTATTCTTTGTGCTTACTATATGTCCTAGGTTCGTATAAAGTAACAAGGCTCCTTTCTTATTTATAATATTCTTCATTTAAAATGCGATAGGACTATAGGACTTCTTGCTAGGGAGCTTAAGGAAACCACGACGGCGACGGTAACGAGCACGCCACCAAACAAAAGGTTTAATGAGCAAAACAATAGCTGTGCACGTGCGTTATAATTCGATGTACATTTCTTTGCCGTCCTCTGAAAAAGTGAAACTGTGAAGTCGGAGGAACGCGAACAATGACCGCTAATTTTTCGTATTTCCATTTGTAATTAAACAGTGTCGTTGCGTCTTTAGCCTGGACACGTTTTTAGAGCCATTGGCGTATTGAACAGATCTAGACAGTTGCGAGTTTTTGCTGGTGAAATATGAAATTCATTTTTTCCTAGGCGTGGTCTTCGGTGTCGCGGTCGTCATTGTTTAAGCTACCTATTTTATCAGAGAGGCCGACGATGACGGAAATGAAGACCTCAATGGTTCTGGAAAAGACCAGAATAGATGCCTACTAGGACAACATGATGGGCAACAGTAACTAAGTTAGCGAGTGGAAAGAAAACTTCAGACTGTCTTAACCTACAACTAGCCTGTTTTGTGGCGGCATTTTGTTTCAAGTTGTCGAAGCAACAAACAAGTTGTTAACCATTCCATCATGAATGTTTCCAGAATATCCTTTTAGTGTTAACCCCTACAAATCTGAATACTCTAAAATTGATGAGTCCGGAAACATTTATGAATCCGGAAGAATCTCCTCTAGTGTACATCTAGTCTGAGGGATATTAAAGATATTACTTTGTGAAGCATGATTTGACATTTCTTGGACGGTGAACTGGGACACGTGAAACGACTGGGATTTTTTTTTCACTCGCAACAGGGATCTGATAAATAGCAGAGATTATCATTATCCGTGATTGAAATGCGCAATGGTAACTTGATCCGGAAGGAAACTAATGCTTCGAAGTAAGACTAATTCTCAAAGCATAGCTATTTGGAATGTCATTTCATACTATAAGGAAGAAAACTGTCGGATTTCTTCGTATTCCTTTTCTAGTTATATTTAGCTACAGCTGGCCCACATCAGCTTAATCTAGTTCACGGCTGACCTGCTTTACCAAATTCTGTCTGTCTGTCCGTCTGTCTTCAGTCAGTCTGTACGTACAATATACAAGGTAAATGTATGTATGTATGTACGTACGTACGTACGTACGTACGTATGTATGTATGTATGTATGTATGTATGTATGTATGTATGTATGTATGTATGTATGTATGACCGAAAACTTGTTTTTTTTTAAATTTTATTTATTTATTATTACTGTTATTATTATCATTGTTATTATTATTATTATTATTATTGTTATTATTAATACAACACGAACTACAATAGCACAATAAAAGGAGATACAAAAGATAATACAGAAGGTAATGGTGTGTGTTACAAAATGCAAACAAAAAAGAATTACAAACTATTACAAAGTACAACATTTTGAGTAGGTACGTTGCAAAAAAAAGAAACAATTCCTAAATTAAGAATTAATTAAATTAATCAATAACTTAACTAATTAAGTAAAATGAAAAAACTCAAATAAAGTCTTTCTACTTGTCACTGTCAGACGTTTTATTTTTAACTGCTATTTGTTGTGAAGTATTTAATTTGTTCTTAAGTAAAGAAGGAAAACCGTCAAAGGGTACATCATCGCTGTGTGGGATAGTGCAAAAGATATAATATTTGGCCAAGTCTTTCGATTCTGTGGTGTTATCATGCCAACCAAAAAAGGATTTTACGTTCGGTGAGAGTTATATTTTTGTTTTTCAAACCACCAATTTTGAAATGCAGACCAGAAATTGGAAATTACAGAACAAAGGTAAAATAAGTGAGGCAATGTTTGCGGTTGCATTTTGCATAGCTGACAGATTTCAGAATCGCATAGCTTCATACGGAAAAGGGAACACCTGGTTGGAAGTATGTTGTGAATAATTTTATATTGAAAAATTTGAAGCTTTGTTTCGAGCGTGGTAACAAAGGGGAGGTTATAAACTTTCTTTAAGCATTCTTTCGAGAAACCATATTG